GTTTACTAATCAGGAGGTAACATTATCCATGGTGATGCTATTGCAACCTGGATATAATCTCTGTCCCTCCCAGCCACGGCCAAGTAAATGCGCAGTTGATGGGATGTGTGGATACATCTCCACGGCTGCCGCGCACGGCAAGTAGCGAACCTTTGAAACCCGTCACTGCTCATGATCGCAATGGCGACAAGTGATGGTCATAATGACCATGATGGAGACCATGGTCGAAAAAATACAAGGAGCTACCAGATGAAGAGGCGAGGATGATGAGAACTGGTTAGGGTCCCCTCGGTATGGTGAATGGTTGCATTTAGGGGGGGTACTCAGCCTAAGTACCACGAACATCCGGGCACGAGACCGTGCAAACATGGACAAAGTGACGAGCCCTCTACTGTGGTCTGAAGCAAGAGCTTCGGAAAGGTCAGGCCCTTCAACCTGAAGCCTTCATCGTCTTTGTCTGCAGCCAACAGCAGCAACCGCAGAGTCGGAGAGGAACACACAGATGAAGCAACCACAATTAGGAAACGTGATTGCGATCACAGATGTGATATGAGGCGTCCACCAATCACCTAAAGTTATTAAGTGTGTTGACCTCTGCATTCCAGAACAATGATTCAGACAAGAGCTGGTATGCCGTCGAAGAGCAAGAGTGCATAAGCTTCTTGGCAAGAAGTCTGGCAATATTCAACAAACCCTAGAACACCTAAGACTGTCCAAGTATGTTCAATTCAATGCCCCCCAACACCCCTAAACCCTAAACACCAACCCAAAACTAGAACCAGGACGAGGTTTCGGCCCGTGCGGCGGCGGCTGCTGCTGCCCTTGCGGCTCGGCGTGGGAAGCGGGAGGACTGCGAGATTTTCGCCATGCTGTCCTTGACCTGCCAGAACCTACCTTGTGCACGGCGCTATACTTAACCTGAACAGACAGACGTTTTGGGGGCCCTACGAACAGCAGGGCAAGGTAGTTAAAAGTCGTTCCAGGCTTCATGTTTCTTTGGTTTCAGGAACCTCGTTGACGACGGCTGGGTGTGCTGTCTTCCACAAGTACGTTTCCTGCAAGCTTAAGGAATGCTGTAGGCTCCACGCCAGCTTGCCAAGCGTGAAGACGACGTCAAGCTGCTTCGCAATTAGGATTCCTGGTCGGTGCCGTATAGGGCTTTAGGGTGCAAGTTTTAGGGTTTTACTAGTAGGAGTTTGCATGCGGCTGGAGGTATGAAGTAGGTTGTGCTTGTCTTGTCCTCAGACAGGAGGCTACAAAGACCGAGAAGATGGACAAGGCCTCGTGCTAATCAATCAGTGCTACATGTGGGTTCAGGGGCATTAGATTCACTGGATCCTGCACCCTCTATGCTCCAATTCCGAATGATCCCTGAGCCCTGCGTAAATCCTGTAACAATCTTATAAGCCCTACAGCACTCCATGGAGCCCTCTCACCTGCAAAGCTTGACGAAATTTTCTTATGTGGAAGATGACTTCTACTGCCCTAACGCTCTTGGGGCTAAGGGTGTCCAGGGTGCAGATTTTGCAGGCTCCGGTCTTTTTTTCTCTCTCTCTCTCTCTCTCTCTTTCTCTTGTTTTCTCTCTCTCTCTCTCACTGAGCAGGGCTTTAGAAAGGTAGGGGGTTGGGACTTCGGGGGTAGATTTAGTTTACAAAACGAAACACTATGGGGCCTTAGTATTAAGGTATTGGGGTTTGGGCTTTACAGTTTGGGACGGCCGAACGCGTCCTTTGGCGGAACCACATCCCTTAGAAGCTGAGCATACAACCTTCAACCTGTCGCGGATGCCTAGCAATGATGAATCGTATTCCTTTACGATCCTTACTATAGGTACATAGTATAGTGGATCCCAAAACCTTCTTCCAGTTATTAGAGGCCCTAAACTGTAGTATATAGTCCTACGAGGCTGCAAAGGCTGGCTCGTAGGATTTGGGGGCTAATGTTTCTTGAGTCAAGAACCAGAGCAACTAGGACCTAACATAAGGGACCTCAATAATTCGAAAAAATTAGAAAAAAATTTGCGGTCAACAAGACCGTAAAGACGTGCATGAAGTCTATGATGGACAAAACTGGAAAGACAGTGAAGAGCTTGCGTTCCATCAATTCAAAAGTTGACACACAGCATGGAGACGTGATGCGGGGATCATGAGTCTATAAACATTTGTGGATTTTTCAGGTGCCGATATAAAAACCCACTTGTTAATTTTGAAAATGTTTGGACGAGGGCAAATCGTCACAAAGTCCACCAGGCACAACACGACCACAAGCACAAAACAGCAGAACTGCTGGCTTCCGTAGCAAAGCCTTGAGCCGTAAACCCGAACTTCTGCAGGTCTTCGGTTCAGGATAGGAAAACAGCTCCCCAACTTTTTGTCCCTAAACCCTAGACAGACAGGTTTTGGGTACATTATACCATGCTACACCACAAGTATATAGGGAATAAGGGAATACAGCGGAAGAGTGTAGGTAACTCTTCAGACCCGTATATAGATCTCAAACCCTAAACCCTAAACCACCAGACCCAACTCCCAAAGCCAACATCAAAGTTCAAGATTGCAAAAGCCGTGTGCCCCAAACCGCAGACCTTAACCGAGGCCAAGACAGAGAAGAAGCGCAAACGGAGAGAAGAGGTGCCGGTTTAGGATTTTAGGGTTTGGGGGTTTTGAGGGTTGAACAGTTAGGACAATTTCCCAACTAGCTTTGGAGGAGTGAGGTTTAGGGTTGTTGGTTGTTTGGTGTGCCTTGTTTTGTTCGGTTGGTAATTACCTTAGCTGTGAAATCCCCTAAACCCAAAACCCTAAAACCCTAAACCGTAAAACCCTAACCCTATAAAACCCTAAGCCCTAAAACCCTAAACCCTAAACCCTAAAACCCTAAACCCTAAAACCCAAAACCCTAAAACCCTAAACCCTTGGCTTAGCCAACAGAGCGCATTACAACTCGGGGTCCGGGCCGGAAATCTGCACAGGCAAGATACGATCCTCTCGGGCAAACAAAACCTACTGCGGGGCCCTACCTAGACCCCCCAACTACCCTCTATTACCCCCCAAATACCCACTATTAAGGACCATAAGGTCTCTATTAAAGGGTTATTGGGGGGGTCCTGGTAACTACGAATACTATTTTGGGGGGTTCCCTTTTAGAAGTATACGAGAATGGGTCCCAAAATCCTCATTCTAATTATAAAGGCCTCTATATTACCTAAACTCGTATCAGGGTACGACAGGCTCCCAAGTTGTCCAGACTACCAGATGATTCAGCACAAGGGTTTTGAAGCTACAGACACAACCATTATACAAGTTTAGATCGCTTGTTTGATTCCGTTTGCCTCGGCAGCACACAGCCTCCGGCATGGTTTACGGATCTTGACCAGTGCTATTCCAAGGTGAAATACCCTCATCTATGTGTGCAGCATGCTTGTTTGAAATGCGTCGTCCTCAAAACTTCTACTTGCAGCATGACTCTTCATACTCCGCCTCCTCCTACTCCTACTCCAACTAATTACCCCTACTCCTCCTCCTGCTGCTGCTGCTGCTTGCGACTGGCGCTGCCGTTGCTACGACGCAGCACGACAGCATGTTCTCGCCAGCTCAACAATCGAGAAGCAACTTGCAGAAGCAAGATGAAGCGGATTACTCGTCGCTCTTGGCCGTCTCGGCTTGTTTTCGGGCTTTGGCGTTCTTTGAGAATGTGGTTTTGTGGACATCTCGGTGTATCGAATTCGGGAGGCGTTTCTGGCCTGTGTTAGATGTGTTTGCTCTCGGGGTGCAAAGTCTTCAGACGTGAAGTTTTACACAGAGCCGTGCCATGGGCCCGGGGCTTAGTATCCTCACGGGCGGAAAGCAAGAGACGCAACACGGCCGGAACGGAGACGCCGCTCCTGTGCTGCTCTGCCCTTCTTCAGGCTGGGGGTTTTAGGCTCCTTTTCCTTTTGCGACACCGGTTTCATATTGACGCCAGGAGGTATTGAAGACAGCCCAATTCTGGTGATAGCAAGTGTTCCGTACCAACTTTGAATTCTGCTATGCAGTTGTTTTCGTACTCCAGCAGGGGAGCACCGCGAGGACGAAGGGTCCCTAAACCCTAAACCCCTAAACCCTAAACCCTAAACCCCTAAACCCTAGGCCCTAAACCCTAAAGTGACAGGAGAAAGACCGACGACGCCTTGCGATGCAGTGCTTCGCCTCTTGCGGCCCTCTGGAGAGGAGCTGATTGTCATGGCGGAGGACGGATGTTGGGGTAGTAGAGGGTACTATACTGGGGCCTCAATAATTACCCGTATTATTTTGGGGCTTCCTCATTATAACTGTAGTATAATGGGCCCCAACACCCTATTCTAATCATTAAGGCCCCTATATTACTACAATAGGGCCCCTTTTACGAGTACTATAGGTACTTGGTAGGATTCCCTTTAAAGTGGGCTCCTCTTTCTGAGAATGCGAAGTTTTGCTAGACTGGGGATAAGAATAGAGACGCCACTCGAAGGATCTGGGTGACACGAAGACAGTGAAAGCGCTGAAGCGTCTCCTGCGAGAGCGCATGGGGCTCCCGGTATCCTTGCAACGCTTGATTTGTGACAGCAGTGTCTCGGCACGTGACCCTTGCGGTTCCCAGAGAGCCACACCCTTTCATCAAGAGGATTCAAGAAGTATACAGCTCAAATATTCTCTCAGCAAGATGGGGCTTGATATTCTGATTTGCACATCATAGTACACATTTCTCATCAATAAAGGGCTTTAAACTCTCTGCGAACGGGGGGGGCATAGCACGATGTAGTTGAAGCGGGAAGCCCTCTGCTCAAAGCTAAGGCTTGCTGTCCGATGATGTGACACTCAGCGAGTCTCTTGCGATGGATCTTCTCTTGATGTCCGCCTCGGGTGGGAGCGCAAAATGGGAGGCATCGGCTGAGCTGGTGGAGGTCATGCTTCACAGCCGAGGTGGAGCTCAAGCGCGCAAGGTTGCGGAGTTGTTGCTTCAAGCAGGCGCATGCTGTCACGCGAAGGACGACATGAAGGATCCAATTCTTACAGCTGTTGCCGAAAGGGCTGATGCCGAGTGGGTTCGTTTGCTTTTGGAAAATGCTGCAGATCCGAACTTGTGGAGTGACGATCCCCGAAGCAGAAAGCATACTCCTCTGACTATTGCATCTCTTTCGGGCCAGGTGGAGATTGCCCGTCTCCTGGTAGACGCGCATGCTGACGTGAATTTAAGAAACGGTCAAGCCACCGCTTTGATCTACGCCTCAGAAGGTGGCCACGTGGAAGTTGCGCGCCTGCTTCTGCAAGCAGGTGCTGACAAGGAACACGCTAAGCAAGGGAGGCAAGGCAGCAGCCCGGCGACAATGAGTACAGAAGCCTGAACAAGTCCCAAGAGAGGGTTCCTGTTATATATGTAGCCCTTCTAATTCTTGAGGCTCCCACATTAAGTGTCAAGGGTTCGGCCTTTTCGGCTAAATAGTATCTACATAGTTTTCGTCTCAACTTCGCTTCCAACACCCCATGGGTGCCTCAGCTTCTGAGCCCAGACAGACACGAAGCACACAAACAGCACCCGACGAAGCTTAAAGCAGCGTCGCAGTGACACCGAGGGAATACCGCTCTCATCTGTGCATCTCTGCGAGGGCACCTCGAGGTCGCGACTTTGCTTGTGGAAGCAGGTACGGCATGCTGCCCCAACATTGGCAGTTCTCTAAATTCGGGTCCCCTTATTGGATCCCCAAAATAGTACGGCACCCTTATAACAAGGACCCTAAAAGCGACCCTAATTTAGAGAACTACCCTTGTAGAACCCTTCTAGAATCCCTTATAGATCCCTTTAAGGAACGCTAAAAAGGACCCTAAAAATGGACCCTCCCCCACAAGCACCAGCCTCAGGGTTTGCAGAGGGATTTGGAGTTTAGCCATTTCGGGCCCGCGGCTTCTTCATATCAGAGCTACCTTTAGGGTTTAGTTTAGGGTTTAGGGTTTAGGGTTTAGGCTTGTACTAGGGTTCCTAGAATTTGGGGCAACCCTGAGGTGCTGACACAGAAAGGACGGGCAGGTGGAGTTACTCTGCCTTGGTTTGTGCTTCCCAGCAAGGCCATGCGCAGATTGTCCGTTTGCTGCTGGCTGCAAGATCTGTCAAGGACTTCAGGAACAGCAGCAGGCACTACTTAGCTCTTATTGAGGCATCTGACAATGGGCATGCTGATGTGGTTCGCTTGCTGCTGGATGCACGTGCGGACAAAGACTTGAAGAGCAGTCAGGGTAAGTTGGCCTTAAAACGTGCCAGAGACGGCCACCACCATGAAGTTGCAAGTCTTTTGTTGGATACTTGCCCAAGCCTGGCCACGTTCAGAAGCAAAAAAGCGCCTCATTGTGCAGCGAGGTAAGGCAGGTTATGATAAATGGGAACTATTTTGCTACATCATTTAGAAGTGTTCAGAGCGCTGTGGGTAGAGTAGCAGCAGTCTACAAACTACAGCAAGAGCAGTAGTCAGAAGCCTCGACTCGAAGCGACGACCTACTTCCAGGATCCGCAACTTGTTGAAATCTGCATGCAGGTCCTTTGGGGTTCAAGGTTTAGCCGAGGTTTAGGGTTTAGGGTTCTTCGGGACCTCAACTCGCTTTGAGCACTAAGCATGCTCGGCCACAAAGCCTGAGATCTCACCAGTCCAGAGTTTAGGCATGAGGGATAAGGGCTCAGCCCAAGATCCACTATAAACCCTATAACCCCTAAACCCTAAACCCTACACCCTAACTCTCAAACCTTAAGCCGTAGCCACTATAAACCCTGTAAGCCCTAAACCCTAAAGCCTCCTGGCCCCAGCTCCAAAACACAAGCCCAGGCACGTCTGACAACCTGAGACCCAAGTCCATGAACCTCTCTCTCTAAACCCTAAAGCCCTAAAGCCTGAAACCCTTAACTTAACACTAAAACCCTAAAACCCTAAACCCGAAAACCCTAAACCCTAAACCCTAAACCCTAAAACCCAAGTCCATTAACCCCAAGTCTATTAAGGCTGCAGGCCCCAGCTCGATCAATCCCACCTCCTATGAGAGCATGTTGACCAATTCTCGGCTCCGCCATGCAACCACGGTTTAGGGTTTAGGGTTAAGGCCCTAAGCCCTACTAAGCCCTTGTCCAGCAAGCCTATCCTTAGCTGTGTTCGAAGCTTTCCAAAGTGAAGGCCGCAGTGGCCCCGCCCGAGCAACCAAGAAGCTGGGTCGCAGTAGGGAAGCAGAGGGGAGGAAGCCTGAGCGGGTACTACCGGGGTTCCTGGAAGGGCTAGGATGTGGGCTTAAGTACTATCAGGGTTGCAAGTAAGGCTGGTTGCGATAATATTGTTACGATTTAGGGTTTTTACAAGGATTACGATTAGATTTAGTAGTACAAGGGTTATGAACAGGGTCACTATCTAAGGATGCGGTTCCAGCGCTTCAGCTCTTCCTAGGGGCGGGGTGGGTGACCTTTGACCTTGTGGGGCATCTAAACTGCTGGCAGGGTTTAATCAACTGCCGTGAGGCGTGGGTACTTCGACAGTATCTGGAGTACTATAGATATGTGCATATACATATACACATATATGCAGAGATGTGTATACATATATATATATATATATAGCTTCTAATTTATGTGTACATTACAGTCGATTGCATATCAGCGCGACTGTAGCATGCCGGGCAAAGAGAGCTGTGGCCTTGCTATGACGATGGTGATGACGATTATGCTGATCATGATGATGATGATGATGATGATGATGATTAAAAAGAAGAACAAGATCATGGTGATGGTGATGCGGACATCACAGAAATCGTAGCGAAAGCGGCCATCATACTTGACGTGACGAGCTTTCTGGGCACAGACGATGCCAGTGTTGTTTGTGACCGCTTCCAAAGGCCAGCAAGCGCAAAAATTCTTCAGTGGACCGTAATGTTCTGAAAGATGTAGCACGAATTCTTAGGAAGAAACTTTGATGGGGATACAGGAAGGATTATCTTGCTGTTATATATATATATATATAGGGGATTAAGTCTTTCCCTCTGCTATTATGGCCGTGCCTTATTCTAGTTATAGTATACGATACCCCCAAACCCGAGTCTAACTTAAAAGGGTTTACCCTACATTGCCCAATTACCTTTCGATTTTCAGGGGTCCAAGAGGTCCACTTACAGCGGACACAACGAGAAGACCCCATACCCGGACACTCCCTCGGAGGTGTAGGGTGGTTAGAGTTGACCTTAACCCACCAGAGCCGACTTTTTTGTACGGCCGCTTGTTACGGTTTTTATAATGAGAACCGACAAAAAAGGTGGGTTTAGGGTGTTTAGAGTTTAGGGTCTAGGGACGAAGACGCTGAAGTCTGCAAAGTGAAGCTCTTCCCGGATTCCCGACCGCCGCGTACACCTCAAAGCAGCCGCGCGATCCAATCGTTCCAGGCGTGCCGTGCACTGGCATCTTCCTCGGGCCGCGCAAATCCGCGACGAGGCACTGGCCGCTCAGATCGAGCGCCAACTGGCGGTCCAGTTCGCCAGGGAGCCCACCGCGCCCATCACAGGTGGGGCGGCGGCTCCCGAAGCTCCTGGGTCAGGTCCCGAAGTTCCCGGGGACAGGGAAGCCCAACGAAGCGCTGCCTGACAAGGCGGTCAACGATCCGAATCAGGCGCTGCTGCTCCGCCCTGAAGACCCAACTGCTCTTCAAGGCCCCATATCCTAGCCTTCTGAACCCTACTTCTGGCTCTCTTAAAAGGGTCCATACCCTCAAGGGTCCCCCTTATCCTAACTCCCACCATAACATGCTTCTGAAGCCCTTTTGTGCATCCTTCCTAAACACCCCCTTACAACGATTCTGACAAGGCCGCTTGTTCAAGATCGTTGGAAAGCCGTGCAAAGCCACGCAAACCCTGTCGAAGCTCCTAAAAACTCCATAAGAACTTCAAGTAGACCGCTGAGAACCCTCAATCCTAAACGCCACTATTGCAAACCCTAAATCCTAATTTAAACCCTAAACCCTAAGCCCTAAACCCTAAACCCCAGACCCTAAAGCATAAACCTTGAACCTAAGCCCTAACTTAGGGGCCTCGGGTTCTTTGAGGCTCGCGGAGCCACCCACCGGAGCAGCCGGAAGATGACCGGAGGCCGCGATTTCTAGATAGGCCTTATAGAGGCTTAGGAGTTTACAGGGTTTTATCGGGCGTCATAGGAGTTTGTGGGGGTTAAGGGGTGACGGAAAGCGCTTGTCGGGCGAAACCAAAACCCGGGGGGGGTGGGGGGGGTAGGAGGCTGCGCCAGGGGATTTGCAGAATGGGGGGCCTGCTTCAGCATCATCGCGAAAATCCGCATTGTTGGGACAGCATTCGGCTCCAACCATCGCGCAACCCGCGTTTTCAGCGGTATTTGCGGCGGTTGGCGATGTTCTTTAAACAAACTCCGGCGCAATGGAGCGAGCATCATGCGCATCAGCCTGGCCCCTTGGACGGCCTTGGTGTCCCGCGCGCACGTCTTGTCACGGTCGTTCCGCGCAACTTTTCGGCCACGCCCCGCCGGACCTGATGCTCATGATGCTGGCCCCCCGAGGCCAGCATCATGCGCATCAGCTGTTCCCCTTGCTCTCCCCGGCTGTCCATCTGCTGCTCATCAGTAGTATTATGTTTGTGTCTAAGCCCCCCACACAATAGGCGGCAAAGCCTGGGAAGCCCTCATAGATCTCCTCCAAGAAGCACAGCTTGAGACATTGGTGCTAACAAAGGAATCCCCTAAACCTAGACCACAGTGTTTTCGCTGCTCAGTTCAGTCTTCGCTTTTTGCTCCAAAGCTCAGCGTCTGCCACAATCTCAGATTTACAGGGACCCTACAAACAAGTAGTTCAGGTACGGTGAGGTCGGGATTCTGGGGTTTTACGATTTGGGGTTCAGGGTTTAGGGCTTAAAGAGTGTAGCCTTCCAATAAAAGTTCCAAGCCGCTTAAGCCCGAAGAAACCCTAAACCGTAAACCCCAGCTAAGTCGTTAAATGTGAGGGACAGCTTTGCAGGATCTACTGAGCACCGTCCAGTGAGTTTTGACCCCCTGTCACTACAACCTGACATCTCTCAGGCCTATGCAAACGCTTTATAAACTCCAAGTGCAGCAGCTCGAACATGGTCGGCACTCGGCAAAGCTGGAGCTGCGGTTGCAGGTAGAAACTCCGATTGCTTCGCGAGGCCGACTGTTGCCTTCACAACAGACATGACGATGCATTGCTTTCGTTGCAGCGGCAGGAGTGCTTGAACCACAGATTTCGATCCTACTTCAGCTGTAGAATCCTGAGTACTTGCAGGCCTGTGCATTGTTTGCATGACTTCTGCGCATAATCCGACGTACACCGCAGTAATTTTGGGCTGTCCTCCGACGCAGTTTGGGAAATTCCAAGAGTTTGGGCTGCACGCAGTTGCATGACTTCTGCACATAATCCTTGACAGGTCTCTGCCCGACTTACACCGCAGTATTTTTGGGCTGTCCTCCGACGCAGTTTGGGAAATTCCAAGAGTTTGGGCTGCAGTGCGCGCTTCTTCTGCGCCTGCGTCTCCAGCCTCTGTGGACCTCAGACGACCGCATGCGTTTGCCGACCGTGCCTCGACTGCATCTGACTTTGCACATGTGCCTTTGCCTTTGCTTTTGCTTGCTCGTTTCGACCCCAGGTACTTCGCGATCGCACTGGCACTATGACGGTGTCGCTCTGGTCAAACCTCCTCCCCGGATTTTTGACCATGCCGTTCAACGACCTCATGACTCTTTTTGCCACTTGTGAAGAGGACGAGGCCACGCAAACACAGATCCTGACAGCCCTGAACGAGAAGAGCGATATGAAGCTCCGCTGGACCGTCCGCAAGAAGACCTGGACCTCCGACGGTGGTACTGAGTTTGCCCGCCTGTCGGTGCTAGACATCGACAGTGCTTCACAAGAGTCCGCATAGTTGTGGAGGACTGTGCGCACAGACCTGTCGCACTACAAATCCGTGCGACAGGACGGGTATCGAGAGCGTCCTCGCGCAGTGCGACAGTGTGCTGTTTGATCTTCTCTGGAAGCCTGCCATGACTCCGTGCGCACGGAACTGGCGAGTACAGAAGCGTCAGGTCGTGCGATCCGGTTCACACCAACTACAGACACCGCACACAGCGAAGAAAGCCTCTCGTGCACTCTAGTCTCTTGATTGTTGCTCCGTCCGCCTGCCCTATGCCCCCGCCTGCAACGGCTACCTCCTGAAACGTGCCCATGTGGCGCAGGCTTGCGCCATCAGTGTTGAGATTGCGAGTGTTTCTCATCATGTGCGAAGTTTAGGCTTATATGGGCTCGTCTGTGTTCCGACTCTGTAGGTGTGCTGTCATGTCATGCTCTAGTCCTCTGCGACTTGAGCACAGGTCTCCGTTCCCACCGTGCGGTGCATGAGTAGTGGGCATCCAGCCTCAAGCAGAAAACTCAAACCAAGGAGAAGTAGGGTCTTTCGATGTCCAAATTCTGGTTTACGTCTTGAGGTCGTCTTAGGCAGATGCAAGCTCTAACCTCCTGAAAGATCAACATGCCGTCTCGGCCCGCCTCCCCGCAGACCCCGAAACACCCACAACGCACAACAGTCGTCCAACCACTAGCAGGAACATGGATGCCAGCCCTACCAGACACTCGACAGAAACCAGCCTAGTGCCGCGCACGTTTGTGGACGGGTTTCAGTTGTGCAGTTACGGGGTTGGCTTCTCCTTGCCAGGCCTTACGGACGCTTCAAAGGCCTGCAGCAGCGCCTGGCCTGGGGCCGCGGCACTGTGCGAGACGCCTACGAGGCACACTTGCTCCGACGGGTTGGAACTGCAAAGTGAAGAGCATTATTCTGCGAGCTAAAAACAACTCGCAGCAGGTAGGCACAGCCGTAGGCACAGCCACTCCGCAGAGACGAGACATGATCTTCATATGTCTGTAGCACAGCCGTAGGCACAACCACTCGGCACAGCCGCCAGATGCAAAGTTGAGGTGAGGAGTGTCCAGCTGATTCCTCATGTTTGTGTATATGTCCTACACCAACATCAGGCAATTGCCCTGAGCTGGGCAAATGCCCTCAGCTGGCTCGACAACCACACTGCGCGATTCGCTGCCTACTTGGCCGCACCGCTTCTTTATGAGAGGGCAGTCGCGTTGACTCGGACTGCAGCGCATAGACAGCTCCGCCTGCTCTCCTGCCAGACTCACGCAGCGGTGAGTGCAGCAGCACGGTGACTGCCTGCAGGTCAATGTTGACCTGTACACATACAACTTCCGCCAGGAAAATGCCTTCCCCCTGCGGGTGGGCAGTGGATGTCGGTGGAAACAGTGCATGTCCAAACAAGGCGGGCGGCTGCTTGGCGAACAAGACTAGCGAGGTGAGAGCATCCCTTCGAGAAGTGTCGCACAGCTCGTGGCGTGAAGGTCAGCCACTGCACTTGGACAGGTTTGCACGGACAAGGCCTCCGAACAGATTAGCCTCATTACCTCGTTAAGCGTCAGTGCGCAAACGTGCCCTTCGCGAAAGCTCGGCTGTCTAACCTCGAGCACGTGCTTGCGTAAACAGCGCATGCCCTGCTACTAAGCCTAGGACTTTCCACCAAGCAGCCGACCGCTGCACGCTCCTGCAGCGAGAGCTCCAGGCGCTCGACGTCCGGTGGAGCGTGCACGACACCGAGAACTGGGTCTGCGAGGCTCGCAAGGTTTTCCGCAACCACCGCTGCTGGGAAGCACTGTGTACAGGGTCTACACGTCCAGACAAACTGGCAGTCCTTGCAGGGTATACAAACCAGACAAAACTGGCACACTCTGTAGCGCCGTGATGCTCAAAGGCACACTGCTGCCCCCGTACGTGTCCTAGCCCAGTGTGACAACCACCTTGCAAGCGCATTTGCACTGACAAGAGCCTCTGAGGCCCACGTAGCCGTAGACATTTGACTTCAAGACCGCCGCGACAAGGCCTTCCGCCCTACACGCCGCGAAAGCCGGTGGCGCGCGACCACGCTGCCGTGCGCCGTGTGATTAACCGTCTGCGAGAGCGCGGCAAAAGAGATCAGTCGAGCAGTTCATTCGCCTGCCCTAACTGCCCAACTTTCGACCCGCATGGTGATGCGCTTTCCGTTGTCTCCAGCTGGTTCTAGGGGTTTCTAGGGGTTTCGGGGTTTCGGGATTTGCAGGGGGTCAGGGCTTAGGGTTTTATAGTAGTTTAGGGTTCATAGGGGTTCAGGGTTTGGGGCTTGAGGGTTTGCAGTCTAGTGTTTTGGGTTGTTTGATGGTTTTTTTGCAAATCATTCAGGGTGTTGTAGGCTGTTGTATAGGGTCCATGGTTTTGTTTTGATGATCTCTTTGCAAACCATATAGACCTCTAGCGATCTCTTTACAAATAGAGGAGGCCGTTGATAGGGCTTCGTAGGGTTTTGTGAGGTCCAGCATTTGTGTGGATTGAAACGCTTTGGGGTCTTACATAGGTCGTGGGGTTTAGTAGTTTTTGGTTTCTTTTGGTGTAGGGGTTTCGTGATAGAGATAGGTTTGGGGCTTTTAGGCTGGATGGTGGACTGTTTAGGCCTTCGAGTTGCTAGCAATTCAGGGATTCGAAATGTAGGAGTTTCGGCCTCGAGGCTTCAGGATCTCAGTGCTTTTAGTGTTAGTTTTGTGGCTTCGAGATTCCGGCGGTGTTGTGTTTAGGCGGTGATTTGAGGTGCAGGGTTTAGTGGTGAGGGCCGTCCCCAAGAACTAAACCCGGAACCCTTCATGGTCTTGAAGACAGCGCAAGTGCCGAGATCACCAGAATCGGTGGGCTTCTTAAAACTCGGGATCCTTCTTTTAGGGTCCTCACACGAAGGATCGTATCTCCTATTTGGGCTTCGGGCTTTAAGTATCGAGAGCTCAACATCAAGATCCCGTCGTTCCGGCAACTCGCGGCAACTGTTCCCTCATGATGGACCTCGCAACTTTACGCAGCTTTTGGTATAATCTACTGTAACATACCATTAACATATGGGTAGTTGTCAAAATTCAGGGTCCCTTTTGGGGTACCCTAAATAATAGGTGCCGTATTGTAATAAGGACCCAAAAAGGGACCTTAATTTTGACAACCACCCATATACCACAACCGACTATCTAGTATACTACAATATTCATCAGCTCACATTCCTCAAGCCTTTGAAGGATCTGAACCCTGAGCCTTCAAATCACAACCTTGACAGCACCAAAAGCCCTCTTTAACAAATGCAGTTCTTCAAGGCCCTCAACACCGAGTGGCGTTATTGGACTAGCGGTCTACATGAACATGCACTAAACCCTAATCCCCAAACCCTAAAAACCCTAAGCCCGAAACCCCTGAACCCCAAACCCTAAAACCCCAAACCCTAAACCCCTAAACCCGAAAACCCGAAACCCCAAACCCTAAACCTTAAACCCTAAAACCATAAACCTTAAAACCCTAAGCCCCTAAACTCTAAAGCCCTAAACCCCAAACCCTAAAACGCAAAACCCTAAGACCTTTAAACCCTAAACCCTAAACCCCAAACCCATTAGCATTGAGGCCCTTCAGATCCCGAGACCCCTGCCCAGAGCCGCTTTCCTTCAGGGCCATCCCTCGCAAAAGGAGGCTTCGGTAGAAACTCGCTGGGGTTTGGGAAGTTTAGGGTTTAGGGCTGAGGGTTTAGGGTTTTAGGGTTTAGGGTTTGGGTTTAGGGTTTGAGGGTTTAGGGTTTAGGGTTTTAGGGTTTGGGGTTTTAGGGTTTAGGGTTGGGTTTAGGGTTCGGGGTGAGGGTTTGGCAGTTGAAATCTGTGGGTTTTCAGCTGTGGTCGCCTTGGGGGGGTCTGAATACCCGATGTTGCTTAACAAGAGTCGCTTACAGTAGGTGTAACATGATACTATGTATGTACCCATAGGCTCCATAGTAGTTCCTTTTTTGGGTTACCTTATAGGGTTCTATGTGTATATATATATATATATATATGTATGTATATATGAACCCCAAGCAGGAACTACTTTAGAGCCTATGGGTATATGTATACTGCATACATATATCTTGCCCCAGTCCTGCTTCAACTAAGAAGGCACCTGTATGAAGCTCGTGAAATCGGGTCCAAGGTCTTCTTCCGGGGAAGGTGAAACTGCGCGTGTGCGATCATATCTCTTAAGAGGTGCGTTCATTTCGTTACATGGGTGCTGGTGGTTACTCCGAGCCATGTGGTGGCTGAGTCTAACGATTCTAATGATGATGAGCTGATGGCGATGTACCTGATGTACACGACATGGCAATGACTATCATGTCTTAGCATGTGGCGACGATCTTCGCTTCAGACGACAACAGGGCACCACGACATTTTGGGGTTGGAGCTCAGGTTTTAGAAGGTGCTGGCAAGGGTGCAGGGTTTGCTGGGGATCGCAATGCTTTCAAGACTGCTCCATTTCCGCCTGCCTTCAACAACGCAGAAAGCCGATGGGGCTCCAAACCCTAAACCCTCTAAACCCAACCCTAAACCCAACCCGAAATCCTCTAAACCGTCTAAACCCAAACCCTAAACTCTAAACCCAACCTGAGGTCGGCATGTCTGCAAACTAGAAATGCGGAGCAGACATCTTCCGGCTGCCAAAGCCCCCAGATCCTCAAGCGAGCCCTCACCACAGCGGAGGGACCCAGCCAATCACTTTCCAGGGAAGATAGGGGGCCTTACCAATGCGAATAGGGATTCAGGGTTTAGGGGTTTAGGGTTTAGGGTTTAGGGTTTAGGGTTTAGGGTTTAGGGTTTTAGGGTTTAGGGGGTATACTGTAGTACAAATAATATAGTATAGTTATCTTAAGGAACCCTAAGGGGAACCCTAAGGAATACTCGACGCCAGTTTCCTGCCTGTATACTAGGCCACCAGCACCAGGACAGCGTATATCAAAGGAGCCCCATTGCGGAATATTGTTCTGCAGAGATTGAAGAGCCATCCTAGCCTTGCAAAGCCCGAACCACGCTTCTTCTGTCCGGCAGGCAACCGCGAACCCCAAACCTGAAAGCCTAAGCCCAACATCCGTAATAATCAGAAAACCCTAAGGCCCTAAGCCGCACTGGCAGGAAAGAGGAGCCTCCAGCTACCTCTCCTCCAGGAGGGGCGGTTTTGTGCGCATCGTTGAACAGAGAACCGAACACTCCTTAATTAAGTTGTGAAAGACTGTAAACGGTTGCACAAGGAAGGGTTTACAAAAGTTTCCAAAAATAAGAATATACCTGGAATCGCGGGAAGACGCTTCATGTTATGTGCCCTGAAAGTTGTAGGTGTTTCGGGTTACATTTAATGCTTAGGTTTTAGGGTTTTAGGCTTTAGTGGAGAAGTAAGCTCCTAAAGTGCATATTCCGTTGCGAGTTAGGGACTTTGGGGTTTAGGGTTTAGGGATTAAGGTTGGATGGAAGCTGATCCTACTAGTACCCATTTACCCTCGGGCTCTGTCTCGCTTTGCACCGCGGGGGTTAAGAAAAGCCTTGAACCTGAAACCCCTTACACCCGTATTTCCGCATCTTAGAGCCAAGGAACGCCCGGCGAGTAGTTTGTAACGTGGGTAGAAATGAGATAACCACTCACTGCAACAATTTGCCTGCAGGATATCACTGCTGGCATCGCAAGCATCATGTGTACCTCACATTCGTCCGGGCAATGGTACTTCTTGCAGACAACAGGACTTGCTACCGTGGACGACACCACGCTACCATCGTTGTCGAGCAAATCTCATGCTGCTCGAGTTGTGTTGTTCCTGCCAAAACTGACCTTCCAGCCCCAAGATTCGATCCCGAATTGCTACGACCACAGGGCTCAAGAAGCTAAAGGCCAGAATGCGTCAGTGACCTGGGAAGACCAACATGCTGGCAGCACTGCAATGACTACCTTCCACACACACACACACACACACACACACACGCACTCACATACATTAAGGACTTAAGGACTGTTCAGGCCTGTACTGGTTGACCCACGCTGCTTGGAGCCCCCTCGACGCTGAGTTGCAGTACCTTATCTTGCTTAGGGCCGATTTTTGATTGGAAATTACTGTATCGCCTTAAGCGCCACAGAATGCAAACTAAACGTAAAACCCTAAAACCTTAACTCAACCCTGAACACTCGAACCGGAAAGCTGTAAAAAGCTTAAGCCTAAGGAAACCAACGCCGATAAAATTCAATGCAACTGCAAACACCAACGAAAACATTTTGAACAAACGAACCATACAACTAAAGCTAACACCAAGAGCAGGGTAATACCATTCTAACCTACCATCAATAAACAGATATTTTGGTTTATAGGTTACATAAACAGAAAAGCCAGCTAGGCCGTTGTGGTTGTTTTGTGCTTTCCCTCACTATTCTATTCTTAAGAGGATCTTATTCACGAAGACTTTCAAGAGCCAACCCAGAAAGCAGCTGATGCCAGACATAAACCCTAGACCCTAAACCCT